CATTCCCTCCCTCTCTTCATTACATCTTTCGATACAAGTCCAATCAACTCTCACTTAGGGCATATTGAAACAAACAACTCAGACAATTGTGCTGCCAGCCGCAAGCTAAATAAATACTGTAGAATTTTCTGAGTCACGCACAACAGAAACGGTCCTTTGTTGGGATATTTTCGTCAGGAATTGCCAGCAAGTGTATGGCCGAGCAGCTTCATTTGGCTGCCCAGGCAACGCTTTCTGCATCTCCCAGCCAGCCTTTTCTTGTACGATAATTATGCAAAAACTTGCCTAATAGCGAGCTCAACGCATGACCGGCCTTTGGTCATATGCCATATGCCGTTGTTCCAACTGTCATAAAGGGCGTATGGTTGACATAATGACAAGATATTCACCGTCTCTCTCTATCCCTGTTGGCCACATTCCTCATCTATCCAATTTCATTTGATTGTCAAGGATTTGGATACAATATGCCTAGACTTTGATTTATTGTCAGCTACAGCTGTAAACATTGTGAATTCGCTTCAGTTTCAAATGGCTAATTGATTGAACTGTTGTGGCATTTGTCTACAAGCACTTGATGAGTTCAATTACGAATTAGGTAACATGCGAGAATATATGGCACTAGCCTTGGGCAATCGATAGAAATAATAGCCACACTCAATGCGCACTTGACCTCTTAATATCCAAGTCAGCCCTCTGGCATAGCCGTTTGAGCTGTTTCTAAAACAGAAGTAAAGTAATTCAATTCAATCTACATACAACTCAATTACTGTCAGAGTTTTATAGAAAACGCAATCAGTTGCAAATGCAAATTATACATATTATTCAAATATTGTTGAAATGTTTTCAATTGGTTTTTCTCTTGTGCCAAAGAGCTGAATAGCGCCTTGGACTCCAGCCAAGGCAGTGATGCATCATAAATAAAATGATGTAGCTGTTGCTGTCGCATAATTCATTTCGTCCTGCTGGCGACTAGCGCAATGCATATAAAATGCACTCAAATTACGCATACGCCGCGTGCGACTAGAACAAAAGTCTTTGGCATGCAAAATTTATCAGTTTTAGGACGGCAAAATTTCTATAGCTCCACTGGCAAACCGAGCCAAAAAGGCACAATGCCTATAATCGAAGCTGTGTTTCCATCGACATGAAAAGTACCACAAAAACCATAACAAGTATGGAGAGTATTGATGATTGTGGCATAGCCCGAATGGAGCTGTCACACACACTTTGAATGGCTGTGTAAATACAATTCAATCAATGCACTCGCCACAGCTTGGCATTTTGTGGAAACTCTAACGCAACATTCATTTAAATAATTCAAATGTCAGCGAAAATTGTGCTGGCAGTCGAAATATTGGTCCACTTAAATAATGCTCTGCATATTTAATTACTTTCGTTCCACACATCACTCGGGTGTCAGCACACAAATATGTGGCGAGCGAAATAAATAAAATATAGTACAACAGAAGCGTATTCAATGCATACAGATGCTACAGAGCCACAGCGCCAGAAAGCGCTCACATTATCAATTTAACTAAAATGGTTGAAAATTTAAAGTATTCTCCTCTTCTATTTGTTAGTTAACTAAATTATTTCGTGTATAAACATCTCTTCTACCCTTCGGCTTTTCCTGTTTCAAAAGTTTTTCAACTCTCAACCACGTTTAACCACTCGAAATGTTAGCAGCTCTAGGGGTTTTTTTTGTTTTCCTGCTCAAAATTAACAAGTTCATATGTCAGTAGCGATTAAATCTTTGCCCTCGTCGCATTAGTCTTCTGCTGGATTTACGCCTTTATCATGCGCCACACATCAGCAACGGCAGACGCGGCATATGCGTGATATATGAATTTTGTGCCATGCCGCAGCCTTAACTGTCGCTCATTTGCATGACTTATTTTCTGCTGTTATGATTTGCAGCTGGCTCACTTGAAGCTCTTATCAAGCGTAGCCAACACTTCATTAATTGTCTAAAATTAGCCATAAAGTCAGAGCGGCAAGCAGCTAGTCGCTTTATTGTTGCCGTTGCTGTTGATCTTAGCTGGGCTTATGCAGCATCCACGCACTTACTAAGCTCACCCTACGCATTCAGAGCAGCTCGTGCTGGCAGCCTTAGTCGAAAATACACATTTCCACGGCGAAAAAGTGTTTGAATTAAATTTTTGCTTTTCTGCTTTTTGTTTTGTGAGTCCTTCATGCTGTTCATTGAAGTGGCCTTTTGATTTGCGTTGCCACAATTTATTATTTCTTCAACGCAAAATAAAATAATTTGCGTAAAAGCTTCAGAGCATGCCAAATGGTTAACCAGAGGGAACAAAACAAAGTAACGAAATGATGAGGGCAACAAAAGCTGGCAAAATAACTAAAAGTTGACTAGGAAACACCCTGAGCCCCGTTGCCTAAAATACATTCTCTATATATACATAAATTTACATATTTCTAGGCTGGCAGCATATGTAATTTCATATCTTGTTTACTTATGCTGCTACTGAGCAACTTCATCTCTTAGAATCATATTTCCAAAATAGCCTTTTGAATTCTTATCCTGAAATTTATTCAGATTTCATAGATCCTCTTCCCATTTATTTATCCTTAAAGCATTTTCACAATGTTTATAATATTCATATTGAATTTTTGTATGATTTATTTTATAGCAAGTTTGTATTAAAGTAATTTAAAAAATGATTTTGAGTGTCTAGAAATTTATCAAAGACACAAGTTATCTTAATTCTTAATGCTGTTTTTTTTGTTTACTCAAACGCACTCTATTATTTTCTATGTGGCTTACAATTTATTCTGTTATTAAGAGCAAATATTATTGTTTTTAGGTTCGGCTTAAGTATTAATTATTTGAGATCTCGAATAGGCAGACTTCATATTTGTTTTTTTAAGTGCAGAAGCTTTCAATTTTTTTTGCTCTCCCTCTCTCTTTCTGTCTCTTACATCTCTCTCTCTCTCTCTCTCTCTCTATCGTCTCTCTCTCCTTTTAAATGTTTTCATTACTCAATAAAAATATTTGTTCAAAAATATATAATAAATTTATAAAAATATAATAATAAATTTATATAAAATTATATTTATTTAGTATATATATAATGTATTTTATTTAAAGCTCAATTCTAATCAGATTGTCAGACTGTATTAAATATTCCCATAAGCCTTCAGTTGTACCCGATGTCCACCTTTGTGTCTATTGTTATCTAATGAAACACAAAAAAATAATACAAAAAACAAAACTTTAGTCACAAAGGGCAACTGAATGCTTTTTTGTATTTATGCTCGATATTTTGTTCGCCTAGGGATAAGGCGGCTGCCCACTGCGGTTTGTACCCATGGTGACTTTTGAAATTTTATGTCAACAATACATGGGTTCAAATAGTTGTAGCTTTTATTTTATGGGTGTTGTCCAGCGTTGTGAGCTTACCTGAGTTCTTCAATTTAAGTTTGCTTGCTCACCTCCAGTACTATATATATATATATATGTATTTCTATGTTTTGTGGCATGTCTGGGGCGCTTTTGAAGTTTGAAGTTCGAGCTGTGGCGTTTTATACGCCGACGCTTTCGTCGCTGATTGAGCGTGAAGTAGTTAAACTTAAGGAGTGCTAAGTGCTGCCAGCTGCTCGATTACGGGCTATAAAGCACGCAGGCGGCTCGTAGGCATGGCCAGACCTAAGGCAAAGGCTAAAAAATTAAACAACGTCTGTGTGGGCATTGTCCACCTTAAAAGTAATGGACGTAAGATTATGTGGGTGTTGGGAATTGGATATATGTATGCATATATATATATATATATATATATATATATATATATATATATATTTGTGTGTGTATACGTTTTATGCTTTGGTAAATTTGTTGAGCTTTAAACAGGTCGTATATTCAAGGGATTAGTACAGGTCGAGCCTTTGGCTGGTAATTAGGCTCAAGCAAATTGAATTTTTAGTAAGGTCGCATTCGAATTTGAAGTCAGAATATTAAACTTAAGTTTCACATTTAATATAACATATCTAATAATTTAGGAGTTTAAAGTCTCTAGCATCTCATCCTACACAGAAGTCGCATATAACCCTTCACCTGCTGAACGAGTATGTAGAAAACATTCTCAAAACGCAAATGGTTGTCCATGCTTACTACGCTCTATTTGAGCTGTCAATATGCGGTGCCTGTGGTGCTGGGCATCATCTCAAGCTTCGCCTGTCGTTGTTGTTCCAAGCGTAATTGAAATTGTCAGTGATTGGACGTTGGTCGGTCACCGTATAACACAGTCCAGCTGGCTGCATTATCATGCCAAAGCCAGGCGACATTCTGGCCACGATAAATGCACATAATCAAGTGGCCAGCAGCAGCAGCAGGAAGCCAAAGAAATGTGCAGCGATTGCGTAACCGTCATTTAATTAAGTGGCCTCTGCGATTGACTCAATTGCTTCGATATCATGGCTTGATGGGCTACCCTCCTCATAATCTTGTATGGCTCATTCAGTTGTGCTTTTGTATTAAGAAATAGGAATAGGAAATAGAGGGAACTATTATTAGTATACGAGGTCTTTTCATTTCTTCATGGTATTTCGTCCTTATCTCCTCAATGTATATTTATATATGTACATGGGATCTAGCATGTGGTCGAAAGCATCTTAATCCATGTGCCACACAAATTGGCAAAGATATTAGAGCTTAATGGAGAAACAAATGCAACACACAAATTGTTCCATTGAAATTTAAAGTTAAATTTATTTATTAATTATATTTCATTTAATATTAAATGTATACATATATAATTTTTACAAGTTCGTAAAGCTACTCAAAAGGTTTCACCACATTTACCAAGTTATATATTTTTGTTTTATATTTTAAATATTCTTGTTATCGAGAAATAATTTTCGTAAATACACATATCGTATCAGATTCTAATACAAGGTAAACTCTCTACACACATATATATTAATAATTATATATATATATATATATATATATATTTATTTATTTTTTTATTTATGAACCCCCATTATTATATAAATATATATATTTATTATAGTGCCATACTTGGATTTAATGTTCATAATTATTTTTAGTGTTTTGTGTATCGTAGCGATTTGTTTAAATCTCAGAACTCAAATCGAAGTGTTAATATGGTATATGTTCGTAGAGTAAGTCAGTGTGTAGTAAATCAGTTGGTAATTATTGGCTATATCTGGCTGGCTTAAATTATCATACAGTTTAGGACCTAAAAGCGAAAAAGTTTAACAAACAATTGTGGCTAACGGTAAAAAAATAAAGAACTAAAGTAGAAAAACGAAAAATTATTTAACTTGATAATTTGAAGCGCCTTTCCCCTCCAGCTACTTCATCTAGGGTCTTCGGTTACAGCAGCTTGATGGCCATTAACTTAGATGGCTTGCTCTGGATGAAGCGTGTGAATTAAACAGAGATAGATCAGGAGAGACTCCATTATAAACATGCACATAAAATAGACGTAACCCTAGAGCAGCTCCTCGTTGGCGTCCACAAGCAGCGGGCGTGGCCTCTGCTCACGACGCCGTCGCGCATGCAGCGCTGCCTGTTCCGCTTGATCTAGTAGTGGCTCCTCCTCCCGTTCGACAACTCCGTCTACACCCTCTTGGGCCTGTGCCTGCTGTGCTTCCTCGGCTTCTTGGCGTGCCTTCAGCTCTTGAGCGGCAGCCGCTTGCTGTGCCTGCTGCTTCTTGCGATGCTCATAGTTGACCAGACGCTGGCCCACTAGATATTTGTCCACCTTTATCGACAGATATAACTTCTTAAGTTGCTTTATCTGGAAGAGCACAAAGCAAACGCTGCCCACAACAATAAAGCTCACTGGGTATACCAATCTATAGATGCCCAGGCGAGTGTACGGGTCGGTGACGAAGATCGGCATTATCGATTGAGCGATTACATAAGGAATCGCCAAGGCGAGGCCAAATGTTGTAACCACCGGCACTGCCAGATCACGCATCACAAATTTCAAATCAAAATCTCGCAGTCCATCCGTATAAGCGCGTTCCAGGGATCGCTTTAAATGCCAATCCGGACCCATCAAAGTGAGTGCTATGGCGATTTTAGTGTACAGCACGCCCAGTGCCCAATCCTGCCACAAGAAGTGTATAGGCGTCTGGTACCATGTGACACGTACTGGTATGACAACCACAAGCTCCAAAAGCAGTCCAAACAGCAATGGCACTAGCACAAAAATACCCAACAGAGTCAGCACAGGAAGTGCATATTGTAGTGCGACGCGAGCCCAATGCTTCATCTTGTTGACGATGGCGGTGCGACCTTGTGGCAACAGTGTGACAACTACAGCAATGCCGCGTGAGACAATCCAGCATAGGTAGCCTCCAATTTCCGCCGTGTAGAGCTCATGGGGACGCAACATACGTTCGTTTTTACGTGCCGCCTCCGAATCTGCTGGTAACATGTCAACTGGCACGGGTTGAGCAGCCTTGTCACCCGGCTGACCCGTCCAGAGCATCATAAGACGGCGTCCTATGTAGACTGGCACAGTTAGTATTACCATGGCGGCGCAAACAATAGAGAAGCACATCAGCGTGAGCAGTGCACACAAGCGCAGAGTAAAGAACGTGGGGCGGTCATAAGGTTGAAAGCCAACTGGTACATCTCGTTGCATGATCGCTTGATGGGCGGCAGCCAAATTGCGTGGTGGAGCCGGCTCTGGCATTGGAGGTGGCGGTGGTGGTGGCGGTGGTGCAGCAGCAGCTGCACCGGCAACTTCGGCTGGCTGAGCAGCTGCCTCGCCTTCCTCAGCTGCTGGTGGCTCCGGTGCAGGCAATAAATAACTTCGTATACCAAGCAGCCATGCCACAGCTGTGCACCAGAGACGTAGTAAGCCCTTTAGCCAAATACGCGTTTGTGTCTGTTCGAAGAAACCAGGCAGCACAATCTGTTGCGAATAAGATGTCGCATTAGTTATATGAACTATATAAAGATGTATACGTACTTGAAGTAAAAGCAGCTGCAAACTCAGATCATTCACCTCCGAATCTCCGCTAAGGGCATATGGCAAGAAGTTGGGCCAGACGACCTGTAGTATACGTATAGGCAGCCAGAGCATAAGCAGCACGGCGAAGCCAAAGATCATTGCCGAGGCAACCAAGCGTCGTATATGACGCACAATGGGTACGTGAATCATTTCTTGAATGGGACTAAAATCAGGATCGTTGACATTGCGGAAGATCCATAGGACACCAGGACGCAGCACCTCGCGCAGCAGCGATATGAAAGCAGCAAAATAATAGACATATACCATGCCAAACATCCAGTGAACGAAGAGAGATGTACCCGGTGCCGCCTTGAAGCTGGCCTTGCGATCCTTGAGACTGGCATCGAGCAACGGCAGCGAACAAATATCCAGCCACCAGCCACAGATGAGCGGCAGTACGCCTATCTCTACCACGGATAGCAACGATACCTTTACCACAATGTAGCAAAGGCCAATGAACCAGCAGATCCGACGAAGCCTAAAGACGCGTGCAAAGAAGTGAAGCACTACCAGGGTCAATCCGATGCAACAGTAACCAAACAACGTGGTAATCAGTCCATGAAAATGCAACAACGGCTTTTCGGGTTGCAACAAATCCATGGAGCTTAGTATAAAGTTTCCCACGCAATATGGACAAAAGGCAAACGTAAAAATGAACATGGTGTTTAAAGAGATTATCCAAAAAACATGCTCTAAGAAGACAAGTGAACCATCCAAGCCAAGTAAACGCTCCCAGGTAAGCTCTTCGGCGGCACGATCCCATTCCATGGGATTCCAGTTTTGCTCATCATTGTCTGCATCAGCAGCGATGCCACCAGCTCCACCAGCAGCAGCTCCTACAGCGGGCTCGACAACTGGTTGGGGCACATCGCCCTCGTTGTCAGCTGGATTAGCCACAGCTGGGGCGGCATTATCCATGGGTACATCCTGCGGTGCGTTGCCGTTGTTGTTGTCATCCTGAGCAGCATCTGGTGGAATGGGCGCAGCGGCGGCATCGGCAGCAGGTGCTGCTGGCACTGCTGCTGCCGCCGGTGCCTCGTCGCGCTCAAGCCAATCAGGTCCACCACCGTGAAGAATTTGCTCACGCAACCAAACCAGGCCAATAAAAGATAATAGTGTGCAAGTTACCACAAAGCATCCACGAAAAGCATCCGCATCCAGATTCTCTATGGAGAAGAGATCGAACGGGAGTGACAGAACCATATCAAAAGAGCTTGCCCGGAACAGATAACGATAGGTTCGATATGCCGACAGTGGAACCACTCCAAACCAGGCAATGCCCACCAGTGAGTAGTGCAGCCAACTGCGTGCGCCCTCGAAGACCGCGGATATTAGGCCCATTAGAACGTCCCGCAATGGTAGAACGCGCGGCATATCCGGTGCATAGATGGGCTGGAAGCTAAATCGATAACCGCATAGCTCACAGTATTCCTTATGCGAATAACGCATCCACTGCATCAGACAATCCTGGTGAATATACTTAATGCTGCCAGTGCAGATGCATGGATAAAAGAGCGGTCTATCTGGCAATGCCTCGCAGCGGCAGACGCGACATATGTCGCCCTGCGATAGATCATCCATTGTTGTACGTTTGGTATGATCTACTGTTCGTCGTCTGCTGATTCCACCTTTCTATGGCTATGTGCCATTTGCGCAGTTCAAGAGGCGCTCACTAATTGCACTCAGAATCCGTGTACTGTATGTTCTCTTTATTAAACACTCAATTCGCACCTAAACACGTTTGGAAAACTTTCAAACAAACCGTCAAAGTGGAACTAACACTTAAAATTTGATTTCAGTGTGCAATCAAATAAATTGAACTTTTGATATTACAATTTTTATGCCTGACGCGAATACGTGTTACAGTGTGAGTTTATCGTGAGTGTATATGTGAGTCGGTATTTTAAAAAACGGGTACCTTTAAGGTATTCTTGTTAGTTAATACTTCGGTATTTTAATACTCTTGTTGAGGTCTATTAAATTACACATGGACAATGTGTAATGATTCACAAAGTCCTATAGATGTTACTATCGAATTTATTTTCCAGAGCTATTCTGATGTTCGTTAGAAAACAATTCAGCTATGTCAAAAACTAAATATACCATTTATTTGAAAATTTTGCTGTAAGTGTAGGTGATGTTTTAGTAATTTGTATTCAGAAGCCTGTTAGAGTATTAAAGTAGCGGTAATTCCAATAAACAAGTACATTTACGACACAGAGATTTCAGTATTTTATAATTCGTTTTTCTGTGGTCACACTGCTTAATAAAAACAGCTGTGTCGCGAGTATTGGTAACGCTGAGAATTCCAACTGTCATACAATCTCGTAACTTTATTTTTTTTAACAAAAATACAAAATGCAAAGACAAATGGTAAATCTGCTTGAAAATGTAGCGCGACAAGTGCGAAGTAATCAGCGCGCATTCTCAGTGACGCCGAAGCAAAGAGAAATCTTCAAAGTACAAAGCCCCGAGGACTTTGACAAGAAGGTGAAGAACAGCCAGGAGCCAGTTATAGTCGATTTCTTCGCAACGTAAGTTCAGAGCATACTGTAATGCTGTCACTTTTAAAAAATATCTCCCACTTCAGTTGGTGTAATCCCTGCAAGCTTTTGACGCCGCGCATCGAAAGCATTGTAGGCGAGCAAGCAGGCTCTATAAAATTGGCCAAAGTTGATATCGATGAGCACAGTGAGCTAGCACTGGACTACGATGTAGGCGCTGTGCCTGTTCTCGTTATTATGCAAAATGGAAAGGAAATACAGCGCATGGTGGGGCTGCAGGACGAGGATAAAATTCGCGCTTGGGTAGCCACAGCGGTTAAAAATGCAAAGCAATAGAAATCCAGACCGAACCATCATAGATGTTTTTAAGCTTTAAATTGTTTTTACTCAATGATCTGGGATTTTCAAAATAAATGTTATTACTCGTTGCAAACAACTTAAACTACATCTAACTTAATAGCTTAAATCGAGTACCAGCCCGGCGTGCCAGGTCTCTTCTTGTTGCGATCCAAGAACTTTCGAAAGCCAGCCTTCGACTCATCTAGTGACTTTTCCTCCTTTTCCTGCTGCTCTGCTTTATTCACAAATATATCCGGAAAGGTAAACGCCTCAGTTTTCGGCTACAAAAAGATACAAATATATCGTTCCTTCGAGAAAAGTTTTCAAATAGTCTTCACTCACCATGGTTACATAAGCATATTTGACATCATCTTTTTTGGTCACATAGCCATATGTTATATCACGTTTGGTCTCGCCCAACGCAATGCGCGTGCGAACAGTTACCACAGGCAATTTGTAAATCTTCTCTAAATAGTTTTTCACATCATGTTTGGTCATTTCCGTGGACACAGCGAAGGTAACAACATTTGCCGGCTGCTCTTCTGTAGGGCGAACTAACTTCATCCAAAAGTTGGGCAAGAAGACGCGCAACTGTGGATTCCCGCGTTGATAAATAGGATACCACCGCGTGGACATAGTTCAACTTTTATGTTTTGATACAAAGAAGAAAACAGAAATATGACAATTGATTAGCAAACCGTTCTCAGCTGTTTGCCTGGAAAATGTATCAATAAAATGTATACAACAGTAATGTACTAAAAAATCCAACACACGTGTTGAGCACAGCTGATTTGGCAACACTAACAAAACCGTTTGAAAGTATTGTTTTCTGACATGGTCAAGCTGAAAAAGAAGGAAGCGCAGGCACCTAAAAAGCCGCTAAGTCGCAAGGAACAGCGTAAACTAAAACAGGAGAGGAAAAAAAACAATAAGAGGATCTACCATGCGGACAAAGCAAATGGAGCTCAACGCGTAGCAGAGGCAGCAGCGGCTGCAGCTCTAGCAGCGAATAAAAATGGTAGAAAAAAGAAGAAACCTAAAAAGAAACAGTTAAAACCAGAAGAAATTTCTCGGGAGGAGCTGCTGGCCGGCGAAGTAGATGACGATAATGATGAATCTATTGCCTCCGACTTTAGTGATGCGGAAGTGGATGCTCGGTTGCCGGCAGATCGTAAAGTTGAAATATATGAACCGGTGGGTAAGAAGCCCAAGAAACACGCTGGCATCCAGAGATTAGACGAGATGGAAGTACGAAAACGAGAATTGCGTCAGCAAAAAGAGCTGCTAAGCAAATCACGGAAACAGCGATTGAAGAAGTTGAAATTGGAGAACGAAGAGGAGGATAAGGAAATTGCCAAGCTCGAGAAAAAGTTGAAGCTCAACAAGACCAAGGATAAGAATCGTTCAGTTCGAAAAATGTTCAACGACGGATTGGACTATCTGCTCGATTTTGTGTTGGACGACGAAGAAGAGAAACAGAAATGGGAGGAAAAGCAACGTCGTAAAAAAGAACTTAAAGAGCAGCAAGAGAAGGAAGAGGCGGGCATGTGGAGTGACGATGAAGATGAACCAATGGATTTGCCGGACGAGGACAGCGAGACGGAGGAAGTTGATGGCGAAAATGATCTGACTGATCAAAGTGAAATGGAGGAGGACGCTGAGGGATTAGAATCAAACAGTGAAGTCGAACTGGAAGAAACAGAAAAAACAACATGTAATTATAAAAAGACGTTTCTTCTTTTACACCAGTTAACTATGAACATTTTTCAGACAAGGAAGACATTTACGGTCGTCGCATAGATGCCGAGGGAAACATTTTGCCTGACAGTGCAGAGGTGGATGCAAAGGTGACTGGTCAGAAATATATACCTCCACATCAACGCGCGCTGCTTGCCGCCAACGAGAACTCCAGTGCCCAACAGGCGGAGCAACTGGCACGCTTGCAGAAACAATGCAAGGGCTTGCTTAATCGTTTGTCCGAAGCAAATCTTCACAAAATTTCTAGTGGCATCGAGACGTTATACATGAAGAACTCCCGCTACAACATGAACGAAACGCTGACAAAACTGCTGCAAGAGGCTCTGCTTGGTCGATCACGATCCAATGAGCGCATGGTGCAAGAACATATGGTTCTGTTAGCGTTTCTGCATGCTCACATTGGCAGTGAGATAGGTGCGCATTTTTTGCAAACTTTCGTGGAACAATTCGATGGCTTTGTGAGGGAGATTGACGCTCTGGATGTGGAGGATAAACGTCTAAACAATTTGGTTCTCATCCTGTGCTACATGTACATCTTTAAGATCTACGAACAACGTTTGTTACTGGAACTGATTGCTCGACTTGCGGGTAGCCTGTGCGAGAAGTCAGTTGAGTGCCTGCTCCTGATCTTCCAAACGGTTGGATTTCGTTTACGCAAAGATGATCCATTGGCCTTTAAAAATATGATGCAAAATGTGCAGTCGCAAATTGCGGCATCACCACTGGAGCTGAAGGAGAATCCTCGCTTACGTTTTATGGTTGATATACTAAATGCTGTGAAGAACAACAACATGAGCAAATTGCCTCAGTATGATCCTGAGCTGGCGGAGATGCTTCGCAAACGCCTCAAGGGAATGCTACGAAATGAACGCTATGTTGTCACACTGAATATCACCTTGGAAGATTTGCTACGTGCCGATAAGCTAGGCAAATGGTGGATAGTTGGTTCAGCATGGGCGGGGAATCTGGCCGAAATGGGCACGGCGCAGGCAGAGCAAGAGAAGCAGCTTCAACAACCTCGAGGCGAACGTTACTCGGAAAAGCTACTGCAACTGGCCAAGAAACAACATATGAATACCGCCGAACGTCGCAGCATCTTTTGTATTATCATGAGCGCCGCCGACTATGTAGATGCTTTCGAAAAGATTCTGCATTTGTCACTGAAAGATCAGCGAACCGTTGCCTATGTGATCATACACTGCGCGCTCAATGAGCGACATGCGAATCCCTACTATGCTCACCTAGCACTGAAATTCTGTCAGTACAATCGCAAATTTCAGCTGGCCTTTCAGTTCGCCAGCTGGGATCGTATCAATGATATTGAAACACTTTCAAAAGTTCAAATACGCAACTTCGCCAGCTTCCTGCAGCAGCTAATACTTTCGGCTGGCCTGCAACTGTCTGTGCTGAAAGTTGTGGACTTTATGCAGTTGCATAAACTCAGTTTCTACTTTATGCGCGAGATTATGACGCGGCTGCTTCTGTCTAGCGAGGAGACTCAACTCTATCAGGCATTCGAACGCATAACCAAAAATTCGAAGCTGCAGCAATTCAAGCAAAGCATTCGCTTGTTTATGCAGCACTTTATGCTCGAGAAACTGGAAGAGCACAAGGAAGAGCAACAGCAGGTTCTGCGACAGCGCATCGAACATCTGGACAAGCTATTGGCTTATGTAGATTTGTAAATTACAACATTTTTATATTGTTTATTAAACCCTAATAATTAACAACGCCTTTAAGCTATTCATATTGAAACTACAAACTAACTTTTAGTCAAAACTTTGCAACAGGTTTCGAGCTCGCTGATATCGTACGGATTCAACAATTTTCTGACGCTCCGTATCCTCACTGAGCTCCTCACACTGTTTGTCCATTTCCTGTATGGCGTCTTCGGCAAGTTTGCTGATGATTGCCTTCGCAGCGCCTTTGGAGCCCGCCAGATACTCCAAGGCAATGGGCCATATATCGGCACTCAGTTTTTTCTCATTGAAGGCGGTTTGTTGTATGGAAATTTGTCGGAGTTTTTCAAATTTCCAGTCTTGTCGACTGTCCCGCCACTTCCTGAGATACTCCTCGTTACGCTTGCCTTCCTTGTCAGCATTCTGATCTTTTTGCACCTCCAAACGTTGTAAATGTTTTTGTTTTTTCTTCTGCCGTACCGTTACAATGGCATTTGAATTCTCTGGTTTAGCTGCCTGCTCCAGCTGCTCTGCTGTAGGCATGTCATCTAGGTCTTCATCTTCTGCGGCGTCTTCGTTAGGCTCTTTTGTTTGCTTACTGCGTTTTTCTTTGATGGCGCCGTGCTCCGACTGTTGCCTGCGCTTAGAAGCTTTGCCTGTACATAAATATTGGTTAATTAAAATATATATATATTTGGAATGAGCTTCTTACTTTTGCGGAGCTGTTTTTCTTCTGTTTGCGTTCCTTCTGCCACTTGCTCCTCCACAATTAAGCTTTTGTTAGCCACCTCGTCGTCGCTCGGAACTGACTGAGTTTCATGCTTGCGTTTTTTGGCTTTACGCTTTTGCTTTTTTATTTCTAGTTCGGTTCGTGCCATATTTGACTCTGATATGCTTTCCAAATATTTTTAAATTATTCTCGTTTCATGTGCTCTCTTATTTTAGGACCCACAACTGCGCACAGCCAACTTCACGTTGGCAAAATAATTGCGTACAGCCAACTTCATTGCGCTCAAAATTGCGCCAAACAAGAAATGCGTTGAACACAAATGCTTAGTTGATTTGTTAGGAAACAAAATTTTAATCTTATCGTGCCGCGGCAAGCGTACATTGTACGCCAGTGATAGCTGATGAGGGAGTCATAAACACGACACATATCAAAATGCTGCTATTGGAGCTGAAAATTCTAACACTGAACATTTGGTATGTTTTCTCAATTTGGTCACGCGGCTGAAACCGATTCGCCTTGCAATCGCTTTTTTCGTCCAAATCTAATTATAATTACTATTACATATACTATAGGGGTATACCACTTGTATCCAGCAATCGCGCGCCACGTATCGAGGCCATTAGCAAGGAACTAAGCAGCGGTCAGTATGATATTGTGTCCTTGCAGGAAGTCTGGTCACAGCATGATAGCGAGCAACTCCAGCAGGGCACGGCCAGTGTCCTGCCTTATTCCCATTATTTTCACAGTGGTGTTATGGGTGCTGGCCTGCTGGTGCTCTCCAAGTATCCAATTTTAGGTACACTATTCCATGCCTGGTCTGTCAACGGTTACTTCCATCGTATACAACACGCCGACTGGTTTGGCGGCAAGGGCGTGGGCCTTTGTCGAATCCTGATCAAGGACCAAATCGTGCATCTATATAATGCCCATTTGCATGCAGAATACGATAACGACAACGATGAATACAAAACACATCGTGTAATTCAGGCATTTGACACGGCCCAATTCATAGAGGCCACGCGCGGAACATCGGTGCTGCAGATACTGGCTGGTGATCTTAATACTCAACCTCAAGACATTCCATATAAGGTGCTGTTACTTACCTCGAAGATGACAGACAGCTGTGCGTCAGACTCGCTGCGAACCAATGAGTGTAGCAGGAACTCGTACACATCGTCCCGAGCGCTCATCAAGAACCCTTTAGGCATACGAATCGATCATATTTTTGTGAGGGGCGCAGATAATATCAAGGCGGATATTATTGACTATACGCTACCATTTCCAGACCGTGTGCCTGGCCAAAAGTTCAGTTATTCGGACCATGAAGCAGTGCTGGCTAAATTAAGACTTACCCGTCTGCCGCCGGAACTTAAAGCAGCTCCAGTAGCAACTTCTGTAAATACGGAGCATGTAGAGTGCAATATTGTTGAAGAAGTCTGCCCGGCAGAGGGCGCTGGGCATGCAATAAAAGGAATTGAATCTATGAATGGCATGGCCTGCACAGCTAATGGCCAGTCCTTGCCTGCTGCTCGTACAGCAGCGCTGCACGAGTCATTAGCTCTATGCGAAGCTTCCCTCTTGCAATTAAATACTGATCGTCTGTTATATTATTGTGCAGCAACTGTTCTATTTGTGCTCCTTGTGCTCTTGATTGAATTTGCACCACCGGTTGGACTTCAGACAATTTATTTACTGCTCAAGTTTATTGTGTTTGGTGTCATATTATTCTGCCTGTTTATGGCTTCCATTTGGAATTACATGGAACGCAATGGAGTGCTGCAAGGCAAAAAATCCATGGAGGTAATGCTGCAGCATGCCCAGAAATATGAATATTTTTATTGATCCGAATGGCATTTGTCCATTAACTTTAACAGATAGAAGCTCAATAAGCATTTATACATCTCGATTAGGTAAAAAATTTAAGAATTTTATTCAATAAGTTGGTCTCTACCCCTTTTTAAAATTTAAGTAATATAGTTAACTTTTAAAACCATTGACTTATCGATACGGATATCGTTATCGGCAATTTCTCGATAACGTAAGTGACCACAGCAACAGCTCCCTATCCAATAAAAAAGAATATATTTTACCAATAATAAATGAAAATTTAATTAAAAACTACTGCGAATTTCGCCAAGAGTGTCATTTGTTAAATATTTATTGCGTAAATAGAATTTTTCCTGTTTTTTTGTGACCAACAGTGCAAACAAGGGATACACACGCTCTTGGCCTGCAACTGAGTCATTGTGACCAAAACAAAGGCAGACAACAAAGACAATGAATAAGCTGCCAGGTGCCAATTTGGAATTCGTGCGCGAGGATGATTTTGTCGAATACTATATATTCCCCAAGCTAGCTGACGTGGATGAACACGATGTGGAGAAAGTGCGCCAGCAGCTGGAGCAAGTGCGTACGGATTGCATGGCCCTCGTGGAAAAGAAGGTTGCAGAACGCTGTTATATTTGGAACAAGGATGAATTTCATCTGCAAGTACGCACGGGAAGTGCTGAGGAACGTCTGCTCAACGAGGAAGGCAACAAGGAGGAGGAGGAGGAGCCTGAGGGTAAGTGCATTATATATGCACCTCTATATATAGCTATAGCAAATTGCACTCATTTTTAGGTATGCTGCCGCCCCATTTGCACGGCGTCACGCATTATGGCGACAATATTGGGGATGAGTGGTTTATTGTCTATCTCATGAGCGAATTGACCCGCTCTCGACCGGATTGCATAGGTCGTGTTTTCGATGGCGACGGCGAGTTTCTGCTTATCGAAGCAGCCGATGTGCTGCCCGACTGGGCGAGTCCCGAGACGTGTGAACAGCGCGTTTACATTGTTAATGGCGGACTGCAGCTGTTACAAAATGCCTCCAACAATAGCGACAGCAAACGTATGCCCATGGCTAAAGCAGTGCAGCGCATACGTCTCAATCCCACGCTCTATCGCTGTTCCCGTGACATTCAGAATTGCATCGAGGCGCGTTTGCAAGAATTTCAGCCAGCACAGCCACACGCTTCTATTCATCGCCAAATAGTGCAGCTACCGCAGAATGCGGCACAGTTGCTCAAGCAGCGACCTGGTCTAGTGGCGTCAGCTGTGCGCGCCTTCTGCGAAAGAGATACGCTCGACACAAAAGCGCTGCGTACCATGCGCTATTTTCCTCCTGAAACCCCACGCAAACGCACAAATGTCGCCTTCACTCGTTATCTGTATGCCATGATAATGCATAGCCAATATACACCGGAGCGTCGGCTGGGCTGGCAGTTGACGGACTCCGTTGCCAATCCTGAGTGCTATAAGGAACAGCTGCTGGGCGTAAAGCTAACTAGCGGCTTGGAAATACTAGCCAGCCAGGCAAAACGTGCTGATGACCAGCTGGACGACAAGTCACCTGCCTGGCGTGCATATTTGCGAAGCTTGCAGGGCAAGGGCTATTTTCGGGACAACATAGAGGGCAGTGCAGAGTATGAACGCCTGTTGGCTACTGCTAAGGAGTATTTTAAGTGCAACCAGGAACGCTTTCGAACTGCACCGTTGGTTGGCGCCGAAATAGTAGATATGCTGTTGCATCCTGGTGAGGGCAGCGCTGCGGAGCTGCTGCGTGACGAGGAGAACAATCTCCTACCTAGTGATTCAGATGATTGGTTGAACATCACAGCCGAGGACCTGGATGCGATGCTGCAGCAGCGCTATGGACCACAAAAGCTGTACAATCCCAATGGCGATATGAATGCAGAAGAATTTACCAAGCATCTATCTCAGTTCTTGGACAGGCAATCCAACTTTGAAGGTATTGAAGGGCCGAGTGATGCCGGCGACGAGCTGGACTCAGACGACGACGAGCCACCGGCGCCAACAAGTGCGACGAGCAGCAACGCAAAGGTGAAAAAGAACGCTTCGATGAGGAAGGCTTGCAAACGCAACTCTTTGATTCAATCCGATGAGCAGGACAGCACACATGTGCGCAATTTTCTGGACTTTGTGATACCAGAGGACAACTGGGATTCCAATTCAGAGATGAGTGATTATGCGGACGAGGAGGATATAGAGCGCAATTTTGATGCGCTGTCCAATGCCAGCGGTGGCGGCGACGCCAACTACCGTTTGGATCGTAATATCAAGGCGTATATGGAGCAAATGGATCGTGAACTGGCACAGACTACTGTGGGCAAATCGTTTCATGCCAAGAGTAGCACAGCTGCCAGCACATCGGAGCAGCACAATGCTGCGGAGGATGATTTCGATGACATTGAGGACTTTGAGCCTATTAATATAAACGTGAATACGCTGCGCAATATGATGGACAGCTATAAGTCGCAAATGGGCGGCGCAGGTCCCGTATCCAATTTATTTAATGCCATGGGCGTGGGAATGTCAGCTGCAGCTGCAGACGAAAAGTCCAAGGATCTATCAGAGTCGGCTGTCTAAGGCACAAACAGGAACTTATCAGTTATAAATTAAGATTAAAATCGCATTAAAAATCGAATTATACGTCTACATACACATACACAAACATGTGTGAATGCGTTTTTTTAATAGTGCTAAACAAAAGAAATTGTAGGCTAAACACTAATCTTTGGAGGCAGGCACAAAGTTCCCATAGTCCCGCCTGACCTGCATGCCCTGACCGCCCTGCTCGTTGCGGCTTCTATGCTGATAGGAGCGCTCCGAAGATCTATCTCCTCCTTCACCACGATCCCTGCGTGGATTAGCCTCATATCTGTTCCGATGGTGATCTATAGATGCCAGTGGTTAGTGTATTTTGGTTAAATATATATATATTTTGCTTGCCTCTGAAATTGCGTTCGTTGTTGCTGTTGTGATTGTTGTAGCCGCCACTACGTCTTTGCCATCCACGATCGCCGCCTCCTCTTCGCTGACCGCCATTATATCGATTATTGTACGGGCTTGAAAAACCTCCATTTCGACCTCCTCCGCCGCTACCACCACCACCACCTCCTCCACCGCCGGCCGCACCTCCACCACCACTCATCCAATTCTCTACTAGCGGCGGATCCGGCTGCGGCTTAGAGCAATGCGCCATAAATTCGACATCGTCTGTTGTGTAGCGTGAAGCGAATTCTTGTTCGCATTCTTCTAAAAAGCTAATATCTTTATCTGAGAGCCTGTTGATTTTACGATTCGGATCAACCATTGTTAAAAACTTTTGTTGCTTAATGGCTAGTATGCTGATCGCGGAGCAAGGTAAAATTTCCAAGATACTAAGCTGAATATTGGTCAGCAGCCAGTAGCGCTGCACTGTTTATATTATGTTTGAGAGACTGAGGACTATGACCAAATTTCTAGGAATAATAATTAAATTTGTTAAACTGTTATTGTAAGAATACTTAATGACTTAATCTGGTCACACTTTTAAATCTACTTTCTGTCCGCTGTTTCTGTGCTAACATTTATTCACTAAGAACAGCATACAGCGCCCAATGGAATATCGCTAATGATAATATCTGAGATTCCCAAATATCGCAAGTAAGCTATCGATATATTGTTGATTGAGTACGGTATCAGTATTCTAAGTGAAATGCGGGAGTGTTTTAAGTAAAGTGCAGCTAATTGTAGCGATTGTATATACTTCTAAATGTTATTTAAGCTAAAGTCTCACACTAATAAGATAAACGCTGGACATGCCACTGCATCGCATTCATAGAACCACGACAGCCATAAGCATTAACACGCGGGTCAACTGCCATAAACAACGTGATCCTCTTCAGAGATGGCCACGGAGCAACAGTCGTCATTGTCCGTGCGCTGGATGCGCCGTTACCGTGTCTGCTTTCTAATATTACTTTTAATTATTGCCATCCAGATATTTCTGGCCTACAAATCGGTTGACATTGATTTGGCGGGCGCACTGCGCACACAGCGCGACGTTCACGAGTCAGAAGTGCCGCCACCAGAGCCCGTAGCTCCGCCAGCTCCTGTGCAGGCTGTAGCTAAGAACTCACGCCTAACTTCTAAGGAACTGGGCTTCGAACCCGAGTGTGATATCAATGCCAAGGAAGCAATATCGGCACTACAGCGTGCCAAGACGAAAGACTGCCGTAAACATATCGCCCACATAGCCTGTGCTATTCAAGCCGGACGCTTCTATGCCTCTCATCTGCAGAGCAGTTGTCCGGCAGGCAATCATACAGCCAATGTATCGCTGGGTTGCTATCGTGATGAGAAGGATTCGCGCCTGCTAGGCGGCTACTTCACCAGCTTAAAAACGTTCAATTCACCAGGCAGCTGTGTTGAGCTCTGCCTACAATCCGGCTACCCATATGCAGGCGTGCAGTACGCCCGTGAATGCTTCTGTGGCTTCGACATGCCGCCCAGCTCCGCCAAACTGGCCGACTCTAGTTGCAATATGAAATGCGTGGGCAACGCCAAGGAAATTTGTGGCGGAATATTTGCCATGAACGTCTACGAAACGGGCATTGCAAGTAAGTCGAGTTACCTAATCAACTAATTATGTTTATACAATGCCTAATCTATTGTAGAGTTTACGCCACAAACGGCAGCCAACAGTCCAGCCCCGGGCGACGAACAGCGTAACGTTCGCATTGCTTTCCTGCTGACATTGAACGGACGGGCCCTGCGCCAGGTACATCGACTGCTGCGAGCATTATATGAGCCGCAGCACGTTTACTACATACACGTTGATGCGGTGAGTGGTTGCACGGGGCGGAGGTGAGGCGATGCCGGCGGAATTCATAATTAAAGCCAGTTGAACAATTTGTGTTAATTGAGCAGAATTTAACGCCTCACAGCTGTAGCAGTGTTTAGTGCTTTACAATTTTCCACTGTATAAGCAAAGTTTTCTGCAATATGATAAGCTGTAGGTTAATATGATAAGGCTTACATAAGATATAATAATTTATGTAAAGTTCTTATGTAATCGATATTCACTTATGAATATTTAACGTAATTTGAAGCACTTCTACAAAGTCAACAGATATGCAAAACTTAGAATAATTTTTACTTCCTTTAAAAACTTTCATTGAAATCCACCTCTTTTCACAGCGTCAGGATTATCTGTATCGCAAATTGCTGGAGCTGGAACCAAAGTTTCAAAATATACGTCTAGCACGCAAACGTTTCTCGACAATATGGGGTGGCGCCTCGCTGCTGACCATGCTGCTGCAGTGCATGCAGGATTTGCTGCAGTCCACCTGGGACTGGGACTTTGTCATCAATTTGAGCGAAAGTGACTTTCCTGTTAAGACGCTGGACAAGCTGGTTGCCTTTATGAGCGCTAATCGAGGTCGAAATTTTGTCAAGAGCCATGGACGTGAGACACAGCGCTTCATACAGAAGCAGGGCCTAGACAAGACGTTTGTGGAGTGCGATACGCACATGTGGCGCATTGGCGATCGCAAGCTGCCGGCCGGAATACAGGTGGATGGAGGCAGCGACTGGGTGGCGCTATCCCGTCCATTTGTTAACTATGTAACGCACCCAGCACAGAATGACGAACTGCTGCAGGCTCTGCTGCAATTGTTTCGGCACACATTGCTGCCAGCTGAATCTTTCTTCCATACGGTGCTGCGCAACACGCAGCATTGCCATAGCTATGTGGACAACAATCTGCATGTGACCAACTGGAAACGGAAGCAGGGCTGCAAGTGTCAATACAAGCACGTGGTGGACTGGTGCGGCTGTAGTCCGAATGACTTTAAGCCGGAAGACTGGCCTCGGCTACAGTCCACGGAACAGAAGTCACTTTTTTTTGCGCGAAAATTCGAACCGATTATCAATCAGGAGGTGCTGCTGCAGCTGGAGGAGTGGCTCTATGGGCCATATACTAGTGAATATGTCAATCTACACGGCTATTGGCAATCGCTCTACCATCACGAAGATGTACATGGTGCGGGCGATGATCTGGCGCGCACTGTTGGCGACAGCCTAATGCGTCTATCTGCGCAACAGTTTAAACTGGATGCGGTGCAGCTGCTGGAGCTAACACACTACCTGCATCGGGATCAATATAAGGGGTTCTTAGTGCGCTACAGTGCCTTGGCTAGAAACGATTCGAAGGAGCTGCAGCTGGAGACGCGTGTGCGACCTGTGCAGCACGGCAAAGTGGCGAAGAATTCACGTGTTACTAAACGCCTGCGCAACTTTGAGGTTTCTACGGACTTCGATCAGAAGGAGCAGGTGGCGCGTAACTTCGCCAAGTTGTTGGGACCACACAGCGATCTATTGCTGAGCTACACATATCAGGGTGTAGCTACCTCGCAGGACGCATCGCACTCGTACAATTTGACGCTGATCTGGCTGGATCCATTTGGTCGACTGCAAGACTTCAATGAGCTGCATGTGGAGGACTATCAAATCGATGTTATCAATCACTCCAAAACGTTGCTGAAACGGCCGCTGACTCCTGGCATCTGGACAGCCAAGCTAATTGGACGAACTTCCATCTACGCGCAGCTCAGGTTTCTAGTCGCTCCGCTAGCCTATGCCAATGGCGAGCCAATTCACACTGTAGCTGCTGCACGCGCTCAAAATGGTGGTCAAACTGTGTCTTTGCCCGAGAGCTTTGAACAGCCCGAGGAATGGCAGCAACATCTGCACAGCGACGGCGAAGTCATTGCATTACGCCAAGAGGCATTGGCTCGTACGAAACTGATTGGTCCGCCTTTGTACAGCTGGATCGATGATTTGGTTGGCAAATTCTTTCAACTACGTGAAACCTGCATTGTGGATGGAACTAGCGTGCTGCCGGAGCTGCCGCTATGTCGAGACACCGCCTGGAGTTCGCTGTCCGCGGACCCCAAGAGCGATATGGAGGCGCTGCTCAGGCGTCGATAGATAGATTGGCCACAGTCTTACAGTCATTTGTTATAGCCATTTTCGTAAACGCTACCATTGATCAATTTTTTTTATCATTTGTTATTCATATTGTTTTTGTACATAGTTGTGAATGTATCACTCGCGCTCTGTGTGTTTTTAACCATCTGTTTACTACTCGTATAAATACTTAATTATCATATTTTCAGTAAGAACTTTTGCAACATATTGATGCTCAACGCACACAAAACGCAAACAATTGAAAGTTAACTAGACTCTTGCATAAGCCTCGATATATGATTTTTATTTAGTTTTATATTTGTTGTTAATTTTACAAACCTGAGCTTAAACTGAGAAACCTGTTTTCCATTGAGAAATCTGTATATATCAACAATTTTAGCTAGATAGAATATCAACAATTATGTTATATACAGCGTCGTCCATTAAATTATTGAGCTTATGCAAGAGCATATTAACTTTCGATTTGTCACCTTAATCTTAAGTGGTTTGGCTTGAAATTTCTGCACTCTTCAAACTTTTTCCAATTCAAATTCAACACATTTACATAAAAATCTTTTCTTCTTTTATAATGTTGTGATATATGTAAAATGGGAATGAGATTGGGGACTTGCCACAGCTTGCAGTTCGGTGTGAATGTGCGCAAGTTTTTAATGAGTATTACAAACATTATTGTTAGTGTTTAAGTAACCTTGCGATGCAATTGTAACACTGGACACATACGTATATCTCTACTATTTAGTATAAACTTTGAACTATGCAACTATAAGATTGGTTTCATTTTGACCGGAATTCAATTGTTGAGCTCGCTTACAGGTATATTCATTTTTTATATATTTGTTTGTTAGACTTAAATATTTAAAGCCAAGGCCATTTGTACTGCCGTTCGCTGTGCGAGCACATTTTAAATTAACAAATCTTCATCGGGATCTTCATGATCGAAGTCATCATTAGCATCTGGCGTATAGATGATGTTACCCTCCTCCGCTTCACTGATGCTGCAAGATACGTGTTACGATTAGTGACTGATTGATGATGAACTTATTTAACTAACCGTTCATATGGCAATGTGAGCGCATTGCGCGCTACAACTTCATCCTCATCCAATTCAATCTTGAAGGTGCGACCAGGATCTGAAGCATTATCTGGCGTCTCCTGTATTGTGGTAGCAGGAGAAGCAGTCGCGTCGGCACCCTCTGTCAGAGGCGTCACTTGGAACTCCGTCTTGCTGACTTGGCACCTGTAGCGTTTGTTGGTAACCCCGCCGCCGGGTTTGCGAGATATCAGCGACAACGTGCTGTCTGTCTCCAAGCGTAGCACCAGCTCTGCCAGATACTCACAACCAGCCAGGATATACTCAGCGTCTGGGTGCTGCAGATGTTTCGGTGACGCCCACAGGAAGACACGGCGGACATGCTCGCAGCGGCGCAACTTATTGAGAAAGTCAAAAATATAGGCAGGTGTCTGATAGCAGAGCAAATCTGCCAGCGTTGGCAGTATTATATTATAGCCAGTCTTTGTTGGGATGGGCTCGGTTGGATTTGATTGTTGATTATTTGCATTGTTGTAGCAATCATTTAACAGCGCCTCAAAGCTGGCCACGTGCTTCAATTGCGTGCCAATTGGCAGTGTTTTAATATCATTGCCCTCGCCCTGCTCGTTTAGCTGGCTGCCAATGAACTTTAGCGCGATGCGATCGCGATTTAGTTGATCTGCAAATCCAATGATGAATTAACATTGTTCTTTGTTATTTCTTATTAAAATTTGCTTACCAATTATGAGCACGACCTTTTGATTGGTCACAATAAGATTGGAAAGCATATTGCATTTAGTTGTAATAAATTAAAAATAAAATTAAACTGCAGTTTTTGTTGTTGCTAACCGTTAGCGATGTAAGTACCACAAAGCTATCGATATGCTAAACAAGCGATACTTAAGCTTAAGTAGCGATAGTCTTGCTACAGGTGCACGTTTATATCGTTCATCTCTATAGCCAGCTGATATTTGATACAACTGCCTTTTCCAAATGAGTAAACAACAATTAATTCGAAATGTAGGGCCACATAGATCGATTACAAAACCCTCCTAGTGAAAGTGTAACCTTGAACTTCTGTATAGTTTTTGTAATGTTAATCCCCAATGGTCATGACTGATAATCGGTCAGTGGCTCTGGCGCGCGCTGATTACTGTTTGTTTGATCTCATTTATTTGCTTTCTCTGCCGACGCCGACATCAGCGCTGACGTTTACGAAGCTGCCGCTGTTGTTGTGGTTTGCTTGGATCGCTCAGTTGTGGTAAAAATTGCTGTGCCTCTCTTGTGTTTGGATTTTTGGCTGTCGCGTGTTCCAAAAAAAAATAACGTGGCGCTTGTTATAATTTTCAACGACTTGGCTCATAATACTGTAAGTAATATTTTGTAATATCAAACCCTGTTTAAAAGTTGCATCATAAACAAAATGAATGACTGTATCAATAACATCCAACAAGTGGTTAACAAAGATTGAGTGTATGTATATTGTAGTTTGTTGGTATTAGGTTCTAAAAGCTTTTCCACAAAAGCTTTGGACGCTGCTGTCGGCGCTTTTTGAGGGGTATTGCGTAGGCGTCGCTGCCTTTGCAGATATTTTCGCTGCTTCCATATGGATGACTTTTGATGTACATGAGCATAGCAGGTCAAATCCTGCAAATAACGCAGTTTGTTCAACAAGTGAAGACGGCTGAAAAGAAAAAAAAATAAAAAATAGTTGCAAGTCAAGACTTTATTATCTAAAAAACCTCACAATCGAACACGATTGATAAGCCGCTTAAAATTCAAAACAAACAACAGCAGCAAAAAGGAAACAAGCAAAATTCTATCAAGCATACGACATGCTGTTCTCGCTGGGTAAGTGTGTAGGTGTATTTGACTGTGTGTATGTGTGTGTGAGGCTGCGTGTATGTGTGGGTGCAATTATTATGCATAGAACATGTTATTAGCTAACCAACACCTCAATTGAAATGCAGCGCGTTAAAAAATTCCATTTCAATAGAGTCAAAGGAATGTACCCAACCCCTCTCCCTGTCCCTCTCACTAATCGCCGCTGCGTATGCCTAGCATATTAAAAACAACAACAAGGTTGGGCTAACCAATTGCATGCCAATTTCTAGTAGTCAATGGCCAACACATTACACGCTCAAATGTGCATTAGACAAGACAACAAATTATATATTTAATAATTAACTACATTTAGGAGCATAAGAAAAAACATTAAAAGCTTATTCGGCAGTAACACTCGCATGCGAGCTTTGCGCTGTTCGCGTCGCTGCTACGTTGCGACGCTGCCGCTCTGCTTTGTGCAAAGCGCCAACTTTGAATTCAGTTGCGCATTGCACTTTGTGGTGCTCGGTTGTGGCTGTCGTTGTGTTAATTAATTCTGTGTGGTGTGTCTCTCTGTGCTACTGTCTTTTGAGTATTATTACTCATTTGCATGCAAATCAAAGCTGGATTAGCTGTTAACCTCCGACATTAGCCAACGATTTTAGTATTGATTTTTGTTAAAAGTGTAAACACAATGTCAAAGGACATGGATGTTGAGCAGGCGGCGCAGGCGACAAAGACGACGACGACTTCAATAGAAGTTAAAGCGGAACCTGTGGCTGTTGCCGAACCAATAACAACAACAATAGTAGCAGTCCCAGCGCCAACAGTAACAGCAACAAATGGCGATAGCAGCAGCAAGGCGGTTGAGGAGCAAAAGCAACAACCAGCAACGGCAATAACAACAACAGCAGAACAAGTGCAGCCGTCAGTTGCCACCGTCGAATCGACCGCAAATAAAGGTACAACCGCTACAATAATAATAACAACAACAGCAAGCGCAACAAATAGCTTCGCGTGGCTTTCAAAAAACCAACAGCTAACCAATAACAGCGCATAACATTTTAGTTTCGAATTAGTAAAAGTTATAATAAAGCGCAGACAACGTATTGCCGGACGAACAGGACGGACAAGCGTAAAAAGAAAGAAATCCAAACAAACCCACACACTCACACACACACGTGCATAGAAGTGATAGGTTTAAGTGAGAGTGAGCGGGAGAGCGAGCGTTAGCCGATGCAATTGCATTACCGTTGCTTATCCTCGTGCTTCGCCTCCTTCTTTGGCGTCTGCTGCAGTTCTCCTCCCCTTTCGCTCCCTCTCTCTTTCTCACTCTGTCTTTTTCAGTTTGCTCAGTCAACAACATTTTCGCACCAAGTTGAATTTCACTTTAGTTTTTCAGCATTTTTTTTTGTTGTTTAATGCTTTATTTATTTTACTTTTGCCGTTTTCAACTTTTTACGCTTTTCCAAAGTCATCGGCGTCGCATCTTCAAAAAGTTTTACTTTTCATGTGGATTACTTATGTCTTGCTTGTATTTTCTTCTGCCCATTACCTTCAAATTTTGCGCACGATCTGTTGCAACGCTTTACCGAGCAGCCGCTGCTGCAGCACGCCTGCTTAACTAACAGTCAATTAACTCTAATGTGCACCTTAATTAACATTCAAATATGTCCAATTCATTTCACTGCCCCAAAATTATGGAGCCACCTAAAAGTGCTGTTGATTGTATAACTGTGAAAAGGTGTATAACTGTAATGAAAAGACTGTGCCACATTTGGCTTATCTTTGACTCTTGTGCCAATTGAAAATTTAAAACTCATTTGCATAAGAAAAAACTTCAATTAAAGCGTCTGATAAGCCAATGTTCAAAATTTGCTATCTGAGCAATGTTTGCTTCAAGGTTTCTCTTAACTTGGTAACTAAACCCGGAGAAGTGAGCATATATAACTGTTCTATATGCTACTTTATAGTGTGTAGCGCTGTAATAGAACTGTGTACTGCTATACTCAGATTTATACTACTATACTACTATAGTACTGTAATAGCAAATAGTAGTATATTGCATCATATAGTAGTATATAGCAAAATACAGCAGTATAGAGTAGCATGCTATGTATACTACTATTAGTAGAATATAGCAGTATATATGCAATACTTTATATACTACTATATGCTACTATATTACTACTACTATTTGCTACTATATGCGACTATATACACTACCATATATTGCTATCTACCGATTTTTAAATAATTTAGAAAACTTTAGTTATTTTATTTCAATTTCTATCCACATTCTTCTACTCTTCAACTCATCACAGTCTATAAGATCTTGCTGTTCAAAGTGTATCGTCTTCTTTGTATATCATTAAGTTCTATTATTTATCTTAGTTCTAGACTCGTTTTCAACACTGAGTAAATTATTATTCGATACATGAACAGAAATAGTTCAGTTTATCAAAGAAGCGCAGAAATTTTTAATTCATTTGCCATTTTTTCTCTCGCTCTCGCTCTTCTTTCATCTTTCATCTTGCGCCCCGCCAAACCTCATGCTATAGACACACGCTGAACAATGCTATTTAAAGCGATTTGGTATCATTTGCCACTGCCAAAGATTGCCGTAGTGGCTGCTAGACAATGTTTACACGCACTTCTCTGATAAGAGCTTCGCAGGCAAGTCGTGGGCTAGCCTCTGCCTCTCATCTTATATATATATATATATATATGAAGTAGTATGTTCGCTAAAAACAATTACAACATCAGCTGAGGGGCGAGTCTCCAGTTGGAGGCGATGTAATCTAATAATCTATCGTATCAGAGCGTGCTGGCTGCTTGTTTGTTTAGAGATCTCAGTTTGCCGGCGACGCTGTTAGATGAGTCTATGTTTATTGCTAAATTTATTGGAATTACAACTTATTGCTTATATGTCTCGTCGACTCGAATGCGTTGAAGTCTGTTGAATTCTGCTATGATATCATGTATAAGCTATGGGGAAAACGTCGGGTCAATTACCAAGTAGCGCTAAAATTCTAAAATTAGATCAGAAAAAAATGTATATGAAATTTATATAAGAACGTTCTGGCTGCTCAATACAGCTGAATGTTTAGATAAACATAATAAATAAATTTTATTTATTTTTAATTGAAATGTTTAACAAAAATGGCATTTTAGACTAGTTAGGTATACAAATGTATAGATCAGATCTAGAATAAAGTATATATAAGGGGTTACTGCGAACTGAGCATTTCCTGCTTTCAACATACCTGGGGCTTGTTAGGCAGCTGGAATAGATAAGTATATCTATTCCTGATCAGGATCCATATATATAAATGTATCGATCTGAAACCTTTTTTATGTAGATCCATCATTGTACTTCTTTCAAATAATCGATAACTTTTCCCGTCTCGAAGTCATCAATAAAAATGTTATCCAACTTCTATTTAATCACATCTCAGGGTATCTCGTAGTCGGGCATATCCGAGCTTTCTTACCAGTTTTATTTAATTATTTATTCTTCTTTTAGGCAACAAGTCCAATATGGATCCGACGCTGATCAACTTTAAGGTGCTCTACGTGCTGACACAGCTGTGTGGCTTGACGATGATTGTGCTGGTCGGCACCTGGATCGGGCAGCATTTTGGTGGCCTGGGCGGCACTGACAATCCCAAGCAGGAATTCAATTGGCATCCGCTCTTTATGACCATTGGCTTTATCTACTTGTACGGCAATTGTGAGTAGCTGGCGTTAGCTATTTGGCTAACTAGGCCGGAAAGGGCGCCACTAATCGGGCACTCCAATGCAATTCTTTTGCAGCCATTCTCATTTATCGCGGCTTTCGCACTACACGCAAGAAGACTTTGAAGCTCACCCACGCCGGCATACACATGGCCGCCTTCGTGTTGACGGTGATTGCGTTGAAGACGGTCTTCGATTCGCATAATCTGGTTGATCCGCCCATTCCCAATATGTATTCGCTGCACTCGTGGCTGGGCCTGTCCGCTGTCATCATCTTCTGCCTGCAGTATGTGGCTGGGTTCATGGCCTTTCTGGTGCCAGGCATGCGGGAGAACTATAAGATTGCTCTGATGCCGCTGCATATATATTTCGGACTGTTTGGCTTTGTGTTGGCCATTGCCAGCGCCGTTATGGGACTCACCGAGAAGGCCATATTTGCGATGTATGCTATATGAGTTACGCTGTTTATAACTTGGCCAATACTAACTGATTTCTGTCTCTGTCTCTGTCTAGCCCCAACTATTCGACGCTGCCCGCTGCTGGTGTGTTGGCCAACATAATCGGCGTGCTCTACGTTGTATTTGGCGCACTCGTTGTTTACCTGGCCACAGAGCCCTCGTACAAGCGAAAGGCTATACCGGAGGATACAGCTCTGCTCTCTGCCAATGGAACTGAGTAAAATTGTGCCGCTCCCCAAACGACCAGCTGCAATCATAACTTAAGCTCAAAACTGTGCACAAAACTAAACAAATCCCATAGTGGAGGATGCTATTACCCGTGTGGTGCTTCGTGTTTCGTTCATCTCAAATGCTCTACGAAATGTTAAAGTTGAAATGCGTGTTTTAATTATAATAGTAAATAATTTATGCTTTATATAAATTTAATATATACCATATATATATTTTATGTATGACAGACAACTGAAATATGTTTTAAACCTTACCCAGAATAATCTGTATTATACGAATATATATACAAATATATCTATATGTAATATATCTATCTATATATAAACTTGTTTTGAATTTGAAAAGATCCCAAACATTCGATTTTATTCGAGTGCTAATGATCTATATTTCTAATTACTGTGTTTTATCTTTTCTCTCATAGTTAGCAATGTGGTTTTCAACATAGAATGATTCGAGTCTGGCCAATTGCTCATCTTTTAAAGACTGAAGCCTATAGTTGTCATCGACACCCTGAAAGTTGAGCATCTCATCCAGGTCGACGAGGTATGTGGACAATTTGCCCTCGAATTTGTCATTCTCGATACCGCGAAAATCGCATTTGATATCATATTGTCGCAATGCTTGGGCCGTGTTTTCAGTGACATGGATGTTGCCAGTCACACCCTTGTCTACCATAATCGAGGCCAGGTTGACAGTTCGACCCCAGAGATCGAAAAACAGGCGCGATTCGCCGACAACACCGGCGTAAACGGGTCCGTGCGAAATGCCAATTTTCAGCTGTCCGGGCATTGCGTTGGGAAATCTCATTGTCAGATTTATTTTGCTTATATCCTGCATTATGCGCAGCATATCGGCAGCATAGTGAATCAGATACAGGACGCAATAATCGTCGGGTTCGAGAAGCGGGTGAACGAAACGTGGCTCATAGTGCTGCAATTTCAGTGAGGAGTCACCTGCAGAGGGGCCAATGTATAGCAGCTCCTCCTGACAAAGGTATTTAGAAGTATCTACTCACTCGATATATTTGGTGTTATGGTCGAATGATCCTCCATTAATTTGCTTCCGCTATCTGTGCTTCTGCAGGATTGATGGTCACCTTTACCTAGACCACACGCAGCCACATAGGTCCAGTTAATGACCTTAATCTTTTCAACCTTATAGTTTTCAGTATAGTTCTCGGTTAGATCGTCGAAATAGCAAATATATTCATTAAGCACACGCAAACTGGTCGTATCCAAAGGGAAGTTGACAATGGAAGCGAATAGCACTGCGACATTGTCAATGTATTCATGATAGAGTTGTTCCTTCGAACCACGATTTAGAAACATTGATACCAGGTAAGAGGGCAATATGTTGGACATTATCAGGTTGGCGTTGCTGTTGCTGTTGTCCGTTAGGACTTGCTTCTTGCGATCGTTGAACACGAAGCTCGTTGGAAAACGGAGTTAGAAACTACTACTACTATATGTAAGGCAAGTTATGCCAGTACTCACTAATAGCTGACTCTATTCAGGTAGATTATGTGGTGATCCACGATCAGGTAGAAGATGCTGCCCGTCAGCAAATACCAAATGCTTGCAATTTCTGGCGGCAAGCCCATATTCCTTACCTTTGTTCTGGCCTTTCTGCTGTAAAACACGTACAGGGTCAGTATGTGCATGATGCAGACCAGAATGATCATGGCCGTCTTGATGAATAGCGGCACAGACATGTAAGTCAGCAGCATAAATATAAGAATGATATGCTCTGAAGCGTCCTGCAGACGGGAGTCTATTCATTACTCAGCCTCACATTTGGCATCCAAGCTTACCCAGGGCTCAGTCAATAGCGTATGTGGTACTTTAGCCATTTCTTTCTGCTCGATCTGCTCCATTCGAAGTATGACCTGAACACACACATATCAATCATATTTGTATATATCAAGCATCATTTCTAGACGTACCGATTCTAGATTGCCCATCACATAGACCAGCCAGAGGGACAATACGAAGACTAGAGCGCGTATCACTATTTTTTCTTCCAGTATTTTGGATACTCGACAAAGCCAACGGTGCAGAAAGAAATTGGAGCAACGACTTTGTGGAACCTTGCAAAACTCTATCGCCATTTTGTTATAGAAACCAAACAGACATATCACAATCAATATTATGTCCAATATAAACGTTTTGTATGCGATTTCAGTTCTTTGAATAGGATTTCATTACAGGTATTATAAAGGCTGTAATGTTAAGAGGTGATAACAGATGTGCGCAATTCCAGGGAAACATAATTCGTACAAGAACTGTTAGATCCATTTAATCTCAGTCACAAGATGTTTCCCCGAAACGCACATATCAAATGGATGCTTACATTGGTGGCATAAGGGTGATGACACAGAAGACTGTACCGACGAATACCATCATTAGGAGAGCATATTTAAAGACTACATCTGGCTGATTTAGAAAGCCGCTTTCAATGTCGCGTTGGCGAAAGATTCTCCAGAATGGCGTAATATGCGGCTTAATTACATAATCCTCATTGCCACGTTCGATGCGATCGGAGAAATCGAATATTCTTGCCAAGCTGTGTATGTTCAGATTAAGTATTATCCATGTGGATGGACTCGACTTACTGGATGCTGTCGACGGGCATGCATTCCATCTTCTCGAGCAGGCATTTAGCTGTTTTCTGGGGAAGGTCATCAAAGCAATTGAATTCTGCTATTGAACTTGCCGAAGGTCCCGATTGTCGTTTCAAACTCGTCTGCGAAGACGTAGCTGAATCATTTCCAATGTTTAGCAAATAGTTGCCGCCAATGCCTTTTAATACTCGGGGCTGTGGCCCAATCAAGTACGTGCTGATCTTGGCCTTCTGCAGGAGGGAATTTTTTTGGGCCGCTATCGGCCCATCCTCGTAGATGTACTCATTATGCAGCGAGTTCAGGGCTTTCTGCGACAGATGCACCATGTTCTGTCTGCCCAACGATTCCATGCATTGAACAATGGCCACGTCTTTTGACCAGATATCAAAGCAACACTTTTTGCGGCCCACAATGGCAGTGAAGGCTTCGCCATTGTGGACTGCTGTACGTAATCCGATATCGAGTTTCTTGGACTTACTTATCTCTTCTATTAGATTTATCATGTCGAACGCAAGATCGACACAGGCATTGGTATGCCTGACCGTATTTTGTGTGACCCCAGCGACACAGCTAAAGATGTTGCCCACGAATTTGATAGGCAGGACATTATGCGACGTTGCTGATCCATCCAAGCGCACACAAATCTCATTAAGAACTTCGAGGATCTCTAACACATCGAGCTGTGTTATTAGCTCATAGTTCATTATTCTGGCAACCAGTATAGAAACATCGGGATACAGTTCTATGAAGAGAAGGCTACAAATGGCATTAGGCACATGTGACATGATGCGATCTTCAGATTATACGAACGTTGAGACAAAATAACGCATGCCCACACGCTGCTCATCGATGCGTTTGTACATTTCCTCTTTGAGAGTATCGCTTGTATTTAACGGCAGTAGCTGTTGCATGATGTCCTTTTCCTTTAGCACGGTGGACTAGAGAGATGCAACGAGATGTGAGCACAAGTTCGTATTTGGTTTAGCCAACAATTGCAATTACCCTTAGCTTAAAGTTCTGGGACAGCAACTGGCGACGATTCAATATCATTGTCCTCAATTTGAATTCGATGAATAAGCGAAAGCCCTTCATGAACAGATTCAGCGAAACCAGATAGATGGCATAGTATCCATGGTTGGTCATGCTGATCTCTTCCGCAGTCATGAAGCTTGTGTAAACATAATATAACAGATGGATCACGGCCACACCAAAGCCGAGGAACACGGGTCTGCCATAGACGGAAATTGGTAGTAGAAAATATATTGATATAATAATGATGTGATCGTAGGAACTTCTTAGATGAGTGTCAGCAGCACCAGTTAGCAAAATGAAGAAGGTATCTAAGCAAACTGAATGAAACCACTGTAGAGCATTAGAATTTCTCGGCTGTACCTATAAATGTCACTAGAAGAACAGCTCCGTAGCTGGCCAAGATATTCCAAAAACGAAAGCGAGAATATTTATTTTTGTCCATCATGCATATCCAGAGTATGAATGGCAGCAGAACCATCACGAATATATATGGGCACGTTGTCAGTGCTGTATACTGCAAGGGCAGAGACTGCATTAACTCGGCAGGCAATGCGCGAAAGCTAACGAACTCACTTGATTGTAAGCCAACTGCAAAATGATGTGGATGCCAATCAACAGCTCTGCGATGAACAAAAAGAGCGACACATTGACCACGGCCAGGCGTTCGATATAGCGGCGGTAGCACGGCTCCAAGTGAAGATATTCAAATTGTGACTGTGGAATGGTGAATCAGGTGCTGTCATCTCGATTGGATTTAACGGTTGGACTCACGCGCAAATTAACCCATTCCCAGCCCTTCTGATGTGATGAAACTTCTGGTATCTCCGTCACAGACTCTCGCTGAGCTCTGCTCATGGCTAGTTTGCATTTATTATATATTTGAGACACTCAAGTATTCTAATTGACTGAGAACGCTGTAACTCCTATTGGAAGTGCTCGACTAGGGGATACCGCGCCGTGCTACTGCCTGGACTTGTAAAGTCTTTCACACTTCACACTTTCTATATGCCTGTTCTGTGTCCATAAGCTGACTATTTCTGAGGTGGAAATTCCCGAAATTCCTGTAATGAATTCTTGCTGATTGTATTGACTACTGCGATAGAGCGTAGCTAAAGTTTGAACTATATTTGCTGTACAGTGTTTTTTTTACAAATTTATTTACATAAATATTTGTTTATAATTTAACTATCCGCCTGCGTTGGCGGCTGGTGGGGCAGGAAGCCCTTGTATTCGTCATCGGTGCCCAGTATATAGGTGGGTATATTGCCACGGCCCTTGACAAACGTTTTGCCCCGATAGTTGCATTGAATATTGAAGTTGCGCAGCTTCAAGGCGGTATTCTCGGTCACCTGTATTTTGCCTGGCACACCTGTTGAATCCATGCGCGAGGCCATATTCACCGGATTGCCCCAGATGTCGTAGTGTGGCTTCGATATGCCCACAACACCGGCCATAGCTCGTCCGTGCGAGATGCCAATGCGCAGCATGCCATAGTCCGTGCTGCCCTCATACTCCGACTGCATGTTCTCGGCATTGAAACGCCGCATAGCGCGCATCAGATCCAAAGCGAAATTGGCCATCACCTTGACCACCTCATCGTTGCTGCGTTCACTATCATTTTCACTACTGCTTAGCCTCGGCGTTCCACTTATCACATTGCCCTCATACTGGCCACGCTCCATATCCAGGGCCAACGTATTGCCGTTGCCATAGGGCACACGCTGCAGTTGCTCCGAGCCCAAATTGCGATATTGACTTCGTCGGCCATTGGGCATTAGCGAGACATTCCGGAATTTCACCTGTGGCGCATTCACCTGCTCGGAACGAGTAACGTCCAGACCACAAGCGGCCATATAGGTCCAGTTGGCCACCTTGATCTTCTCCACGCGCAGACTAGTCGAATATTTGTTCAGCTGTAAGATGAGATATATTATACTAAAAGTCTGCTATATTAATATATATTTCTCTGTCTATTCTCACCACATCGTCAAAGTCACATATAATCTCGTTGAGCACACGCAAACCGATTTTATCGGTATCAAAGTTTTTGATCGAGGCAAACATCACAGCCACATTGTCGTACTCCTCATAGTAGAGCTCATTCTGCAGCTGCGTGGATAGATAGAAGTCGGCTGCGAAGCAATAGAAATCGATTAGTATTATATAAACAATGTCTCTGTCGCTTAACTTACCCACGTGTGAGGGTAATATGTTCACTAGCAGCACCTTGATCGTATCGTTTGTAATTAAGGCATCGTCCTGTTTCTGCATAAGTTGCCGCTTCCAGCTGCCAATTGCTGCTGCATTTAATAAGGCAGCTCAGATATTGAATAGTAAAACAACTTACTTGTAGTCCACTTTGGCTATAAATTCCGTCTGGCGTTCCATTAAATGAAAAATGCCCAACGTTATGATGATGAGCAGAAAATGCGAATATTTTGCATTGAGATTAACATTCGTCGAAGGGCTTCCGGCAAAGATATAGTCAAACTCATAGACTACCAGCACCGTATAGACAGCAGTGATGAGCACAGCTACAGACGTCTTAACAACGAATGGTATGCGTGTGAACAGAAAGGCGGTGCCAATCATTAAAGTTACGCAATTGGTTAGGATCTAAGATAATAATTTGTAAATTAAATCAGAATGTTTAACAGCTTGCTTTCATTCCTCTGACTTACCCAAGGATGAAAGCATTGTATGAGATCTGTATCTGTTTTTGGACCACAGTCGATCTGTAAAATATAGGAAAATGTCTTCAATTAAGTATGGCTGATTAATGCTATACAAAGCCCGCGCATTTTTAAATATCTTCTAGTGTTGTAAATTAGCTTTTTAGTGCTCTAAGCCTACAATTTATCGAGCAGGGCTGCCAACTTATTGTTGCAGCGTTGCCACCTAATTACTTAAATTTAAATTATTTAAAATAAAGTCAAAGTTTTTTCACTTAACCCACCACTTGCATGGCAGTCACAGCAATACAGGAGACAATAACGAGCACGTAGACAGTGAGGCGTATAGCGATGCTGCTCTGCATGCCATCGGACATTTTATAGAGAAAGCGACTGAGCTTATATTGCGGCAAGGACTGTTCAGTATCGGAGGAACACATAATCCAAAGTTTCTTATACCACGAGATGATTAGCAATGTGGTAAGCACGCATACAGTGATCCCGTCATAGATCCAGTAGTGATATTGGGGACTGCAAATAGAGCGGCATATTGAGTATTAAAACTTTCGTCCATCTCCCATGCCGTGACTCACTCCTTGCTTAGCAGCTGTATGGCCAGCAGGCACATGTAGACAAACCAGGCCAGAACTATGCTGTACTTGAGCATGACATCCGGCTCTCGTATGTACTGGATCTCCCAGTTGCGTACGCGAAAGAGTAAGCAGAAGGAGCTAATGTTGCGTCTAAAGGTCTCCTCCTCGATTTCGTCTTGGGTAAGGTTTGTGGATCGTCTGCAAATCTTTGTGATTCTAGTGGAAGGAATTGGTTTAATTCTAGTATACTTTAGGTGCGTTAGAGAGAGTTTACTGTATACGACCGATGGGCATTTTGTCCAGCTCCCGGCACATCTCCAGCTTGGCCTGGTTCCGCACCTGATTGTATTGCTGCAGCGTCGAGTTGTACATGAAGTTGGATTTGCTGGCCTCGCTTAGCTTCTTGGCCTGGCGCTCACGTTGCACGCGACGCGGATCATGCATTGGGGCCTACAACTTTCGACATTGATTAATTGTGCAATTCGCCTGGTCGGGAGCTTCCATGAGTCCATGGAGCAATACTCACGCGCAACGATTTGATGAGAAAGGTGCGTATATCGTGCTTCTGCAGCACTGGATCCTCGCGTGCCTTCTCCGTGCCATCCTCGTAGAAGTATTCGCCGTCCAGCAGCCGCAACGTTTGCTGACTCACATGCACACGTCCCGTGGCGCCAGTGGCCTCCAAGCGATTGGCTATGTCCACATCCTTGGACCAAATGTCGAATTGCCATTTGGCAGCGCCAATGACGCCGGACAGCACGTCGCCGGAGTGAACGCCGATGCGCATATCAATATTCAGATGTCGCTTCTCCCTGGCAAACGTAGAGATTAGTAAGCGAGCCAGGAGCAGGAGCTATCTCACCTAACATCGCGTATGTCCTTGATCATGCGCAAGCCCAAATCCACGCAGCACTTTGCATGATCCTCATTGGGACTGGCCAAGCCCGCGACACAATAGTAGCAGTCGCCCAGGAACTTGATGCGCAGCACGTTGTACTCCTCGCTGGCAATGTCGAAACGCACGAACAGATCGTGCAGCGCCTCCACCAGCTTCTTCACATCCAGCGTTGTGGTCAGATGGGTATAGTTCACCACATCCGCATAGAGAATGGTGACATCTTTGTGTGGTTCGATGAAGAGAGTGCTGCGGATGAGGTGTAGAGCTAGCATTGGAGCAGGACAACTCATAACTCGGACCTGCATAACTCACCCATGATCTGGTTGACGCCAACGCCTCAAGGCTTGACTGTTCTTATTGCAGCCAGGATCGAAGCCGGGTCGACGATGATGTTGCTGCTTGGAGCGTTCAATGCGGTTGCGGACATCCTCCTGCAGGCGATCGGCAATCTGAGCTGGCAAAATGCTCAGCAGCAAACTGCGCTCCTGGTCTCTCGCATAGCGCAGCAACAGATTCTCCTCCACGTACTGACGCCGGTCCAGAAAGGTGGTGCGCAGCGCAATATCCCGCATCAGTCGAAAGAATATGCCCAGAAAATTGACGCAGCTCAAGTAGATGGCCTCACTGTAAAAGGAGCTACAGTGAAGGCAGCTTTCGCTGAGCGCAACGCTGAGACTTACTTGAGTATGCTGTGCATCTGGTTGGCCTCCTTGGAGGAAATGACAAAGCTGTAATTGATTATGTAGCAAATGGTGACGGCGGTGCCCAATATGAAAGGCTGCAGCACGTGCGGAATGGGCATGAACATATAGATGGCATACAAGGTATATGCATCATAGATGGGATTAAGTATGTCGTTGTTGGAGGTGGCATGATAAACATTCAAGCCAATATCTGAAGAGTGGAGAGAATATGAAGTAGCAATTGGTCTAGGAGACAAGGATTTAACTACCCATGAGCACCAGGAGGGAAACAGCCAGCCAGGTGGAGGCATAGATCAACCAGCCGTGTTTGCTGATCAGTTCGTTGCGAAAGTTGACCGAGAGTATTAGCCAAATGAGCACGCCCGTGACCACATAGGCAATCATGTCAACGTAGGCATAGGTCAGATCCGCTGAGGTGAACACCAGCAAGGCATGCGTGAAGGTCACGAGCAGCTCGATAAAGATGAAAATGGACAGATAGCCAATACGCAGACGGCGCATATATATATCATATGACTCCTCTAGCTCCAGATTGCGACATTTTCGCTATATATATAATATAATCCAAGAGATTAGCCGGCGGTAGATATAGTAGGGAATTCCTCCTGCTTACCACTAGATAAGACCACTCCCAGTTCTTTTCATTAATCGTCGTCTGGACATGCTCGTGATTGGAACGAAATGAATTCGTACGATTACTCGCATTATATTGGGAATTCATACTGTTTGCACTTGTTGCTCTCATTCAGGTCGTCAGCATGTTTATTGGCAGCATTTACAGAAGTGGCTTGAATGTCGTTCCCAAGACTTTTCGACTAAAAGATTAGGCTCCTTGGAGAACTACGCACTGGGGCCATAAAAACACATTGAGTTAGTCAGTCAGGCAGCCAGAGCCAGAGCTTATCAGAGCTAAGAGAGTGAGGGCGAGCGCGAAGAGCGTACGAGTATTTGTTTTTGTGATTATTTCGGATATCTTAGAGTATCGGATTCAAGTAGGTGCTTTATTCTACTCATACTAAAGCAATAAGAGAACGAAAGCCAATCGAAGTGTATCGCAATTTGCGAGCGCTGCGTGACAATGCGCCAGCAGCTAATTTAGCAATTTGTCTAATGTGTTGTTGATAGCGCCTAATGGTTTGTAAATCACAAACACTCGCCTATCAAGACATACACACTCTGTGAAATTTGAAATAAAACGTATTATCTCTGGCATGCACACTGTTCACACTGGACAGAGCCATGCAGTTTCTTCCTTTTTTGTTGTTTTTTTTTTTTTTATTTGTAGTTTGTTTTGTTCTCGTATTGTAATTTATTGGCTAATGGCAAAGCACTTGAAATAATTCACACTTCACTTTGGTTGGCAATAAATACGATAATAATTAATAAAAAAATTAACACCACTTAAGCTCGTCGCGCTGCTACAACCCAATACAAAATGGACAGGTATCACAAATTACTCTTTGGCAAAGCTGATAAGCGTCGTCGTCGCTGTCGATTGCCAGAGACGGTTGCTGTTACGGCTATTGTACTGCTCACTGAGCTACGGCACACGCGTTACGGCTGGGCTCTATTTGTATATGACACCTGCGCGCCGTCCAATACGCTTCAACTTCGGCGATCAACTGGTGGCAAGTGTTTAGACGCATTGCTATCACACCCGTTGTCGGGTTTGAAGGGCTTATCGGTGTGAAGTGAGCGCTAAATGTTTGACGCATGTTCATATTATAGTTGCTAATTAATTTCGTTGATTGATTTCCTCTATGATTAATTAAACGAAAACTTTAAAAAATAGTTTCGTTATCAGTTATCTTCGATTTAGCCATGGTTATATTTTGAATCTAAAAATAGGCGCCAATTCTTAATTTTATCAATCGATCAGGCAGCCCTGTACTCTGCATTAAGTTGGCAGCTGTGCATTCTGTTAACTTACATACTGGTTGCCTAACATTTTGCTTATCGATTATTCCAGGACTTAACAGTAACCTATGCGTTTATGTTCTGGCACTGCTGTTGATTTTTTTATCAACGCGTATTTACTGATTTTACAATTGTATTCTGTAGAATAAAGTTTTCTATGAAATAAGATCTTAAATTATTATTTTTATAGAATTTTTCACGAACTTGGTATGCAGGAAAACAAACAACAGCATAGCCGTAGTTAAGGGCGCGCTTAGTTAACAGCCATAGCTAATGTTAAGCTATTGCAGCTGTTATCACCACACGAGAAGAGGAAGATTTAATTATTTTTGTTTTTCGGCCCGTGTGTTTTTCTGTCCCTTTTTTTCGTGTTGCATATTAAATAAAAAACGGCATATAAATAGAATTGGCCCAAGTTACAGAGTTGCTGCAATGTCAGCCTTTACAGAATCCGCTCTTATCAAGAAACTATCGGAACTGAACCCCAGCCAGCAGAGCATACAAACATTGTCCCTATGGCTCATCCACCATCGGAAACACCACACGGTCATAGTGCAAACCTGGCAGCGCGAATTACAGAATGGTACGTAACCAGCGGCAAGAAACGGGAGTGGATTTAGTACAGAAGATAATCTCTGTTTGCAGTGCCGGAACCGAAGAAATTAACCTTCATGTATTTGGCCAACGATGTCATACAGAATAGCAAAAAGAAGGGTCCGGAGTTTGGCAAAGAGTTCAGTAATGTGCTGCCCAAGGTGTTTGGCCATATTGGCGAAACGTGCAGCTCGGACAAACTGATGGGCAGTCTGGGACGCATCTTGAACATATGGCAAGAGCGCGGCGTCTATGATCCCAAGGCGATTGCTGATTATCGCTCGCGCATGAACCGTGAGGCAGCAGCAACAGCAGCTGCTGCGTCCAATGGCAGCAAAAGTAGCAGTGAATCAGTCTCCGGTCACAAGCACAACCACACCAGCAGCAGCAACAGCAACAGCAGCAGCAGCAACAACAACAATAACAAAGCGGAAAAGTCGGAGAAACGCGAGAAGCGCAAACACGAGGATCGACACATGAAGTCGAAGCGACCACGTGCCTCGCATCATCAAAGCGTCAGTGTGGAGCCGCCTGCTGTTGAGCCGGAAAATGGGCACACGCCTCCATACTTGCCATTGGGCGAACCGCCCGAGCCCGAGGAGCTGATCAAAGCGCTGACCAGTATTGAGAACTCCGCGTCAAGCGACGCGCTGGTGCGCGAACGCATCGCCAAGCTGCCGCCGGAAATATCCGAAATAAGCTGCATTACCAAACTAGAGGATAAGGACAAGGCCAAGGTCTTGGCCAAGCAGGTGAGTCCCCGAGAGGCAATCTACGTGCGTGTACTGAGCATTTCCATTTTGATTTCCAGGTCAATGAGGCCGTTGACTTGCTGAACGACTACAATGCGCGTCTCGCAGCTGAAATGGAGGAGCGCACCAAGTTGGCCGCGATGCTGCGTGACTTTCAGGCGGAACAAAAGGAGCTGCTGGCCCAGGCGGAGCAGCGCTTGGATGTACGTTGTCTGCCAATTGTTTATATATGAAAATTAATCGACTTTTGCTCTGCATTAAATGTTTCAATTGGTCTACATCCAATATGCATATATACACAATATATATATGTGCATATAGTATATATGTATTTGCATTTTCCCACTCACTTACCAACTCGAAAAGCCAACTGTCTGCCTGCCTAATGTGTTCTGTATACGTATATTTGCAGGAGCACAAGAAGAAGCTGGCGAAGATGTTGGGCCTGCAAAAAGAGATACACGATCATTTATCCAATTTGCCCGATCTGACGCAGCTGCCAGATGTGACAGGCGGCTTGGCTCCCCTACCATCAGCCGGCGATCTCTTTAATACCCTACACTGAGCAGCAGCAGCAGCAGCAGCAGCAGCAGCAGCGGCGGCACCAACATGATTCGCTGAGTCGAAGCCTAGATTTTTACCTAATAATATATATATTAAATATAATGACATCGTTTAGCGTGTGTATTTGGTCGCAATACCTTGAGCCACTTTCAACAAAATAATAATTGATTGTAATTAACATTTATTGACAGTTAAATAGAGAGTACATAATTATTTATTATGCGAGGGTCGCCTGATAAGTTAATGACATTTGCCAGACTGCCCCTACCGTCTAGGAATATATATATTGATTTGTATTGTGCCTGGTTTTAGTGCATGACGTAGCTGGCCACGCCCTGCCACTTCTCGACGAAGCCAATGATGTCCGTGACGCTGCTGGCCGGTGCCATTTTGACAGCCACCGCAAACTTGCTCCAGACATCGCGATTCACTTGGTTGTTGGAGGCTGAGAAGGTCACTGGCTGACGGCCACGCACCGGGTAGCCGCTGAGCAGGCAAGGCAGATCGTTTGGGCCCAAGCTGGACTCGTAGAGACCGCGATCATCGTTGGGTAGTAGTTGATCCACCTGCTGATCCATGCTGACGGCCAGCACCCATTCACGCACCTCCTCGTGCAGGCTGGGCTCGTTTTTGAGATGGATGTCCTCTGGCAGCGGCACGGAGCTGGGAAAATCGGTGTCGGCCAAGTCCGAGTGATCCACCAGATTGCCCGAGCCCTCCTCAATGGCTTCGCAGACGTCCAAGTAGTGATTGAGCATGACAAAGGCCTCTGCCTCGCGTCCCGCTTGGCGCAGCTCCATGCCCGCCTCGTAGAAGCCTTTGTCCACGGGCAGCACGTCCGTGTGTCGCAGCAGCGCCAAGGATAAGCGCACGGCCACCGGCTGCAGGGATTGCACCTGCTTGCAGGCGGCGCGCGTTGCGTAGTAGTGGGCGATGAGCAGGAACTGCTCGGCGTTAGCCGTAAATTTGGCCTGGGCGTGCTCCGAGCCACGCAGCCCCTGCAGCAGGGTATGCAGAAAGTTGCGCAGTCGCTGCCACAGGGCGCCACCCTCCGACTGCTGCTCGCGCAGCGCCAGGCAATCCTGGGCGATGCGCGCGTAAATGTTGAAGTGCTCCTCGATGGGTGGCGCTCCATAGCTGAGATAGAGACCCAGAGCGGAGACGCTGTCGCCCTCGCGTATGAGCTGCGCCGCATAGGCCGCCACGTACTTCTGCAGCACTGAGGGACTCAGCTGCTTGGCCTTCTCCAGGCAGCGTTGCCACTGACCCTGCTCGGCCAGCAGATCCAAGGCGCTAATTATATCAATGTCCGCCAGCTGCTCCACATTGCCCTCGTGCTTGAGCCGTGACTTTTGCTGTTGCTCCACGTAGGCCAGCAGCTCGGCATCGATCTCCTTGGCTAGGCGACGCGCCTTGGACCACTGCTCGGCGCGTATGAACACATCCACCGCCTGCTTGGGCATATCGGCAGCCAGGTACAGCTGGGCTGCAGGCCCGATCTGCTTGATGGCCAGCAGACGTGGTCCCAGCGCCTGGGCGAGGTCCTGCGCATCCTGGCCCTCCAGAAACTGGTTGACTATCTCCGCGGCCCGCAGCAGAGCTCGCTCCAAGGTGGCCGCATCCTCCGCATTGCTGGCGTCTATCTGCATCAGGCACTCGGCGGCCTTGCGGAATTGCTCCCGCTTGGCAAACTCTGCAGCGCGCTGGAGATAGGCGCGGGCATCGGCGCCCGCGTCCTCGCCATGCGCCTGACCCCGCTGCAGCTGCGCCTGCAGACGTCGCAGATCATTCAAGGCTGCCGGGTAGTGCTCCTCGGCAATGCGCAGGGCGTCGTCGAAGAGCGACTCCTGTTTGTAGTGCTCAATGATGAGATCGGGCCGCTGTGCTCGCAGCAGTAGCATCTCGTAGTCCTGATAGTTGCGCGTCTCGAGCGCCGCGGAGGCTTGACCGATGAGCACTTCGTTCACAGCATCTGGCAGATGCTGCTCGGCCACGCTGAGAGCCGCCTTCCAATCCCCAGCATGCTGGTACATCAGTATGGCCTCCTTCGGCTTGTGCGCCTTCAGAAACTCGGCTTCAGCCTCCTCGAACTTGCCCTCATCCTCCAGGGACATGGCGATCTTCAAGTGCACCTCGTCCGTGGGCTTGCCGGCGAAGCGGCACAGCTCCATGGCGAAATCGAACTGGCCGGAATCGCAGGCAAAGCCCACGGCCGTCTCCAGCAGGCCCAGCTTGCTGAGCAGACGCACGGCGCTCTCCAGCGGCATCGACTTGGCCCACATGTAGGCCACCTGGTGGCTGGCGCCCTCGGTGCCCTTCTGCTTGGCCACGCGATAGCCATCCTCCCAGCGGGACGAGGAGCAGTACATGTGCACGGCCGACTTCCAGTCGCCGGACGCAATGAAGTGCAGCTCCGCGTTCTTGAACTTGCCACGGGACTCCAGCTGCCGCGCCAGGTGCAGATGCGTGCTGTCCAGGAGATCCTTGTGGTAGCGCTCGACCAGCCTGATCATGGAGTCGTACAGCTCCCGGCGCTTGTACATGGCAATGGCCAGATCTGGCTCGTTGACAGCGATGAGCACCTTCTCGGCGTCCCGGTACTTTGCCTGCTCCTCCAGGCTGCTGGCCAGCTGGATGAACAGTTCGCGCAGCTGCTCCGTCTTCAGATACTTCTCGCCCAGCACATAGGCGCGCTCCCATTTGCCATGTCGATTGAGCAGCTCGATGGCATCCTTGTAGAGATTGGCGCGCACCAGCAAGTCCTCGGCGCCATCCAGGTCAC